GGGAAAACTCCTCCGGTTCCTGTTTCAGAAAGTCAGAACAGGAGATGAGGTTTCACGTGTCGAGTGCTGGAGCTTGAGGCCATATAAGGAGCCGGATCATGGAATTTCAAGTTTCATTAATGAATTTTCAGTTTGTCGCATCTCTGTTGCTGCTTTAAAGCTAGTTCTAGCTTTAAATTTATTTTAAAAACCCAAACAAATCAAAGACTGAGCTTTTTTGCGGCTTGGCTGGGTTTGGTTCCGTGGTCTGTAACAAATAGATTGACGATGTGGGATCTTTTCATCCTGCTCAGTCCGAGGGGTGTAACGGCTGGTGGGGACTCATATAAAAGCCTGTAGGACTTCTTATTTTTTGATAACTTTGCATTGGGTGTGGCTGGCGCTGAGCACAGCTGGCAGCGCACGGGCACGTGTGTGCTGTAGGCTTGGGGGAGAGGGAGGAGCAGAACTGGTCAAGGACGCGTCACTGTGTACAGTAACGTTTCTTCCCTTCTCTTCAAGGTACGTCTGCACATGATGTGTGCAACACATCCAAATATTGTTCAAATTATTGAAGTTTATGCTAACAGTGTGCAGTTCCCACATGAATCCAGCCCAAGGTAAGACTGCATAGGGTGATTCATCACCACAGCTTGCTTTCCATGTTTAGGCCAAGGTATAGTGGAGCTTGCTTTTTTTAATCATGGTGCGACCAAAATGAATGTTTATAGGGTGTTCCAGATATGATGTTTATACTTCAGACTAAGCAACGCTTGCTTTTTTCCTTGTCAATGCCCAGACCTTTGCATATTTAAATGAATTTGCGTCCTTCGCTGCTGGTTTTGAGTACGTCTTCATTTGAATACCTTTTCATTTCTTAGGTTTTTCATTGATTCAGCCTGTGATACCTGCATTGTCTGGGAGACTGTATTAGCTTCTAGCTTCTGTCCTGCTTTGAGATGGTTTGAGTAGCTTGAATTGAATTGTAACCTGTGAGCCTCCTTCTGCTTTCAAAGCACTGTTACAGCAGAATTGGAGCTGTGACTTTGGTTGCTACCTAGAACCCTAAGTGAGATCCTTTCACGTGATGGTGATGCCCGTGAGCCACTGGGAAACTCAGAGTGCCAGTCTTCGTTTAAAAAAAAGAAAAAAAAGGAAGTGAGAGTCTCCTCTAAAAATACTAGGTTCCACTCTGTAAACTCTCAATACGTTGTCCTGCTTAAAATGAACACAGCAAAACGTGAAGCAGACCTATTACTTTTCATACATTAATATCACTTGGGATAAAAATGTTGTCTTCTAATTGGATATTAGTTGAGGAAAAAAAAAATCCAAGCTGGGAGAATTAAAGAGCTGAGACCTGTCTCAGTCTCTGATGTGTCTGGTTTTGCTGTGTGGCGGGAAGATCTAGAAGTTAGTTTCTTGAGGTTCTAGCAGTCCTGATCTCCGCACTTCCTATTCGTTGGCCATCATAATTATGTCAATAAAACTGTAGATTAAAATAATGAGGTACAGCAGAGTATCCGGACTCAAAAGCGTTAAAGATAATTCCTCAGCCTTCGGCTTCTACATTTCCATGAACGTCTTCAGCACCTAGGCAGATCGGCATGTCTGCACGGGTGGGTGCAGACAGGTGGACGCTGTGCTCCAAGCCAGCTCCAGCCTGGGAGCCGTTTGGCCTGCTTAATGCAAGACTCTACCTGCTGTATTATTCATCGAGGGCAGAGTTCTGCATTGATGTGTTGAAGTGGCTTCCAGGTCCAAACTGGCTTGCTGGTGGGAAGCGTGGGTGGAACTTGCTTTTATCTGTCTGAATGCATCCATGTAGACATGGCCATGGTGTTTGTCCCAGCTGGATGCGGGAGCCCAACATGAGGAGCAAATGTAGATTCCTGGCTGGCAATCAGTGAGTCGGATTGTGCTGGGAGCCAGAAAATCTTGCAGTTTACATGCTTAAAGGCAAAAATTATGGAACCAAAATAGCTAGAACAACTGTAGAAGAAGCAAGTGTGTGTCTCTCTTTTGGCCTGCGTCAGTAGATATGAAGTATGCATTATTAGCTTAGCAGTTCTGTTATTTTTTTGATTATTTTTAATATAACAAAATGAAATGCTTTTGAACAGGGCTCGGCTCCTAATTGTAATGGAGATGATGGAAGGGGGAGAGCTATTTCACAGAATCAGCCAGCACCGGCACTTTACTGAGAAGCAAGCAAGCCAAGTAACAAAGCAGGCAAGTTAACACCCATGTATAAGCAAATCCATGAATGATAATGGCTAAAGTATTTAACAATTTCTTGGGAAGGGGGGGTGGGAAAAAAGGAAGCTAAAATAATCCTCAGTTCTGATCCGATGATCATTGCCTGCTTTGTTATAACCTGACAATGCCAAAGTTTTAATAGACGCAAAGAATTTGAAGGTGTGGGCTAGTTCTTCTGGGTTGGGGCCCTGGTGTCTCTGCTGTCCTTGGCAATGGTTTTCCGAACCTGGTCTGCAGAACGCTTCACCAAAGGGAGCTCTCTTGCACAGTATTCCTGACGTATCCCTCACTGCCGTTCTGAAAGCGTTACGTCCAACAGTCCACAGGCTCTCACCAGACCACGCCTGGCTCCTCGGCTCCAGTTTGAGAATCGCTCTTGGCCGTGACACAGACTTGGTGTTTCTCTTGCCTCTTGGGCGGGGTAGTGGATAGTAACGTACGTGTGTCCTGGGCCAGGGGTTTTCGAGCTGGGTGCTACATTTGGTTTTATGGAAGTCCAGACTTGTCATGGAAGACAACAAGAGGAATGTACCACTGTAGTGCATGTTTTCTGTGCTGTTTGTTCTGATGTCGTTTTTCTGTCTCCATTTCTCAAGGTAACTCTCTGGAACATTGTGTTTTATAGACTTGACGGTATTTATTACAAGAAGTTTTGGTGTCTGTCAGGCTCTTTGTGGCTTAGCAGCACATCTGATGTGACTAGCTTCTGTCCTGCTCGAGTAGGCAGGATGACAAAGCAGAAGGGGCTCCATGGGATTCGATACGGGGATCCCCAGTGTCAGTTCCTCTCCTTTCTGGGGTGAACTTGTTCCCTTTCACTTCCAAGCTGTTGGATGACTTGTGGTGCCGAGTCAGAAAGCTTGGATTAACGGGGAGGTTGCAGGAAAGAGAAGATGACTGTATGTCGTGATAGCCTTTCTGGGGAGCCAAGGCACAGGATCAGCCCGTTCCTGTTACAGAACTGCAAGGCAGAAGGGTCTTGCTGCTGAAATGGCTGAGCAACTCCGCATGGGAATTGGCACCATGGCGTGAAGCTGAGGGCCAGAGTTGGCTTCGTTAGCTGCTTGCAGAGGTTTTATTGGCATTCCAAACAAAAGATTTGTGAACTGTAGGTGAGAGACTATACTGGAGATGCTAAGCAGTAAACGTCCTGCTTCCACACCAGTGATCACTGCAGTGAATAAAGGAAGGAAAGCATCAGACAAGATATTACAGCATTTGATGTAAATTGACATGACTTTATGACTGTATCCATATCCCTATCACTTGCTTCTCCCTAAGCTAGCAAGATAATATCTGGTACTGAGGCAAAAAACAAGGCCAAATCATTTCATGTTACATTTCTGTCTTGTGCTTTTGGCTTGTTTCTAATGGAGTGGTGATTGTGCTGTTACCTGGTTGGCTTCATCCAACAGAGAAATTAGGTGGAACTACAGAACTATTCTGGACAGTTTGTTTTCATCTCTTTTGGGCTGTTTGATTTTGACAGTGCAAGGCAGTCTCCAGGGTTAACATGCTGGGAAAATATTTTGAAACTGTACCAGAAAACCAGACTTTGAATGAATTCTGACTTTGTGTATAGTTGGGTTATTCGTGTCCCAAGTAACTCTTTGCTTTAATGTTTATACCAATGAAGTTTGAAAGCAGCGCTAAAGTCTTATTCTTCCATCTAGTGGTTCTTCATCACTGTCTTGAACTACGGGTTCCTTGTACTCAGTGATAGTTAAAACCTTGTCACAAAGCTACCTCAATTTATTTGGGAATGTGTTTGTGTTTATTTCTAAGCTAAGTTAACACTGAAGTTCTCTTGTCGCAGTAATTTGCAGTCTTCTAAGGACTCAGCGCTTCACCCAGGGTACTGTGTTTGGGTAGGATCCTGCAGAAGCCAACAGGAATATTTCCAAATAAGGGTCGTGTCGTGGCTTTGCCTTACTTTTGTTTCAGTGATGCCGTTTAAGTATTTATGCTTTGGTTTTCTTTAAATGAATTGCATTTTGAAATGTACAGTGTGTAGAGCTTTCATGACTGGGTTGCAGGTGTCTGAACCACAGCATCGCGAGAAGCTGTCTTTGAAAGAATCAAGTCATGCATTTCCATGTAATATCGGATGAGATGAGTAAATTGCAGGCAGCAACATCACGAATTACGGAACAAAACTGACTGAATGTTCACTCTTAAGTTAGTAACAAATGCAATATATCCACTGAAATGCAAAATATCCACTGAAATACTGAAGCAAGAACTCGCTGTTGACTGTTAAACAGAATGTAATCGCTGGAGAGCGTGCAAGCAAGTTTAGTGACCCGTAGGCCTAGCACAGCATAGAACAGGACACTGTCGTGATCCGTTTCACTCCTGGGGCCAGGTAATAAAGCCCCGAGTTAGCCAAACTAACATGGTAAAGCCCAGTACCACTTAGCTTTTGTTTTCTGTTTGCTTTGAGTGAAACGCAGACGGAATAGCTCAGTGGGTTTCGTTTCCCGACCGTTGCTTTGTTGCGCAGTACGGCCAGGCTTTTCGAAACTCCGAATTGTACCGAAGTGGAGTGAAAATGTTTGGGGTCTAAGCTATGTCGGCGATGTCCTTTTTAAAGCTAATACAACTGTCCAGGCTAAAGGAGGAATTCTGTAATTGTAGTTGATTTATTGTGCCCTTTTTCAGATAGCTTTGGCTTTGCAGCATTGCCACTCGTTAAACATTGCACATAGAGACCTCAAGCCTGAGAATCTCCTCTTCAAGGATAACTCTCTGGTAAGATGAAGCCTTGGTATTCTTTGTTTACTGCTGAATTCTGTAAAATGGCTCAATGGTGATTTTCAGAATCATTGTAAAATGATGTGAGTGCAATGTTTTGGTGACAAAAATGAATGACTTTTTTTGGCTTCATGCTTTTCCGTACTCTGATCTGCTTGGAGTACCGGCTGTCTGTGCTGCTTCTATTAGATACGGGTCAGGTTCTTCACCTGAGCATAGAAGCCTGCTTTGCTGAGGAGAAGATCCACTCTGCCACGTGTCCTCCCCGTGTGTCATCAGGATGTTGTAATGTGCATTATAGATGCTTTGACATAGCCTATAGATGCTTTGACATAGCCAAGCTCTTGCCTGTTTCTTTCTTCTCCTGCTCGTAACCACTGGGCATACGCAGTGATCCCCCTGCAATGTGCTTAGTGCTTTCCAGCCCTGAGAGGGGGACTGCTTTTGACCCAGAGCACCCAGGAAAGCAAAAATGGTTGTTTCAAAAATCACTTTATGACCTTTTATCTGCTTTGTGGAACGGGAAGGGTGTAAGTACAAAAGAGGAATACATATGGCAAAGGTAAGATGAGTACAAGGCAAGAAGGGTATATTAGAAAAGCTGATACAGTGAGATTTTGTAATGAAACCTCTCTTCCTTCTTTTAGGATGCACCTGTTAAATTGTGTGACTTTGGATTCGCCAAAGTAGACCAAGGTGACTTGATGACACCACAGTTCACTCCCTATTACGTAGCACCTCAGGTAACAAGCAGTTACAGTTCTAGGCTAAAGGGGAATAATTATCTTTATTTCTGGTAGCTCCATAACCGTGTCGTTTTAAAAGCCTTTGCTGTCCTGTTAAGGGCTTCTGGGCACAGGAATCTTGAGTAATTGTGTAGTAGTGACCTTTCAAGATGGAGTGCCACTGTGATCAACTGATTACAGCAGGAGGTCGTGAGGCACATTCCACAGACTGTGTTCTTAGCCCTGACTTATTGCTGATGCCTTCTGATTCTCCCAGGCCTGACTCCCACTGGTGAGACTACTCCAGGATTTTGACAGTTGGCCTTTAACTGTATTAAAACGGTTGTTTTGGCAAAGTCCCTTCTTTGCAATCCTTCTTCCAGCTTAGCCTGATACAAGATTACATTAAAGAGGACTATGCTGAAACAAAAAAGGTTCTGTAAAGGCAATTGCACACAGAGGGCAGTGCCAGAGGGTTACCTGTTCACCTCGGCTTGGCCCCCTTGTCAGCGTGCGTTAAGACATAATCTATAATTACAGACAGGTTGGGTTTTGTAGTGCTGCTCTTTTGTGCTTTGTGTTGGAGTCCTGAAGAAAATGAAAAAAAAAAAAACCCCAAACCTGCAGATAGATACTTAATTGTAGTACTGGGCATGTCGGCAGCCTTCAATGACTAGGAAGGGCCATCGCAGAGATTGTCCCATGCAGTCACAGTCTGGTGCCCTGAAAATGCCTCCTCAACTGGAGCCTGCTGGTGAAGGGCCATGTGCGCTACAGACAGGGTTTTTAAAACAATTGAACTACCAAACCCGTAAAAATACTTTTCCTGAGCATATTTAAACTGAGATATTTTTTTTAGAAACCCGGAAACACAGATTTGATCAGTGAGGGACAAATTTGATTTGATTAGTTCGTGGGAGAGGCAAAAAAGGACACGTCTGGAGCTAGGGTTACCCTTCAAACACATTTTAAGCTCTAGTTCCAAAGCGTAGAGGTGTTAGAGTTTTTGAACAAAAGAGACTTGAGCAATTGCTTTAATTCAGGCAAAGCTGAAATTTTCAGCCAAAGCAGCAAAATATTTTAGCTGAAGTTTTCCCATGTAGAAAGTTCCAATCTTTCTTAGGAAGAAAAAAGAGCGGTTTGAGTTTGGCAGTCCTCAGTAGCTGGAACAAGTCCACCTAAAGGAAAAGCATCAGGCATCTTTGGCATAGGCAGTGCTATTTGTGGTGCCTGTAAGCGAGATATACTTTGCATTATTTTTTTATCCCTCTCATGGCGACAGGTATTGGAGGCACAAAGACGGCATCAGAAAGAAAAATCTGGTATTATCCCCACCTCTCCAACACCTTACACTTATAACAAGGTAAGCTATGAAACAGTCCACAAGTCAGTATCTTTAAAGCACAGTGTCTTCCCCCCCGCCCTGATATATCTGCTGTAGAAGTAGTCTATAGATCTGCTTTATCACCTCGGGCAATAAACTTTATTGCCCTGAAATTACACATTTATGGCCAGAAGCAGTAAAGTCATTCTCATCTCTGTGGCACGAATACATCTAGCTAGCCAAATATCTCGCACTGAGTAAAAAGCAGAATCCACAGGGAACAGTAGGGAAATGTCATGTTGCTTGCTATTTCGTGTACGTGTGGATTTTCAGCTGTAAGGGGGTAGTATCCCTGGGGCTCTATTTCTCAAAAGTGTGGTTCCTTCAGTTTTTCTAAAAGATGTGACAGAGTGACCAGGTATACAGTGGTATTTCTCCCCTTAAATGTATTGGGCTCAGACCAGGTTTCGTTCAGTTGAACTGGCTATTTGGAAGATAATGATCTGTGCAAGTAGCTGTCTTTCTCAGTTTAGAAGTGCTGCATTCCTTCTGATGGAGCCAATAATGAAATGCACACTTGGTCCAAGCGTAATTAATGATCCTCTAATTAAATGAAAAATATACAAACTTTAATAAAGGAGTACTACATATTAAAAGATTTTGGAGAGAGTAGAGCGATTCTGCTGGAGTGTGACCTCGTGGGAAGTTCTTTCACCTCCACAAGAGACTGGTTCAAAGGAATCCTCTTTTCTGCCGTCAGCCGGAGTTTCTGGATGTGCAAAGCGCTTCTGAGGCTGTCTGGTTCAGGCAGCTGCGGTGGTGCCTTGTCTGTGTCGGGGATCTTCTGCAAAATGACCACTAGTGTATTGTGTTGTCTGTGGCAGTAGGTGGTGGGCAATAACAACTGCTGCTGGAGTCCTGTAAAGCGTCAACAGAAAGCGTCCCGAAAGGTTGGACTCCTTTTTGGTCGTTCCAAAACATTTTCCTCCGTATCAGCATCACTGTCTCCTGCCGGCTTAGCAGTGTTTGAACCACTGAGTGTTTTTATTTCTGAGTGTCAATTTTGATTAAAGTTAGCTGGTTTCCGATTGCAGTGCTAAGTACCTACGATGAGTCCAGCTTCAAGGATGGTTGTTCAGCCCACCACGTGCTAGAGGGGGTGGTTTGATACGTAGTGTTCTGTGTTAGTAGCTTGCTGTGGAGAGCTAAAGCAAAGATGGGCAGGGGTAGCTTTCACTGAATTCATTGGCATGGGTTTCCTAATCATGAATCCGCCTTCTTCAAGGTTATGATTATCTCTTCTCCATCCTGGAGATACAGCTTGATGGTTGAAGCGAGACACTTCTTATAAAAAGAGTTCTCGGACAGGTACCAATTGTCTTTTCAACACAGAGTTTCTTCTGCCTTCTCTTGTGTGAACCCCAGTCACAGGGAAAGTTGTTTTCTATAAATTTTGAAGGTCTTACGAGGTTCAAGAACCTCCACTTCTGTGGATTGAAGCAGATTTACCTCCAGTAACAGCCCTCTCCAAGGGACCTCTCTGTCTTTTGTTGTGAGATGGTAGATGCAGCTCCAGAGACACCTAGAAGTGGTTGCTCATGCGCAGTGGTTGTTCATGTTGGTAACAGTTTGATGGCTTTTAAAGAACCAAAGAGCCCTGGCCGTGGCAACTGAAGCAAAAGATGGGCCATATTCTTGTACAGAACGGACGAACCTTGAAAATAGATACCAACTGTGGTTAACTCGCATACTAACAAGGTTCAGCTGCCTTAATCTTCTGGGGTTTACAGTGTGTTACCATGACTTTGTTTTCATGTGTCCTTTAAAGAACTGATCGGTCACTGCTCTTAGTCGTGGTGGCACTAACTGGACAGGCTGCTGAAAGAAGCGGCCTCATCCTTACCTCGCCAAGTGTGACTCAGTGCAAAAGCAGCATCTGGCATACGCCTGGTTCCCCAAAATAGGCTGTGATAAACTCCCAGGTACGCGTCCTTCCACAGCAATTCAGAGCCTGAGTGGAAATGCCTGTGATCCACCTCTGCAATCAGCAGCTCTATCCCACAGATTTAAATTGGAGGAAAAAACACATCTTTGATTCCCTGAGTATTTTTTTAAGCTGTGCTTGTATTGGACCAACTGTAAGGGTGTATGTCATGGTTGGAGGGGGTTGGCTCTTGAGGAATAGAACCATGTTCACAAATAATTTAGACACCTGTTTCCTACTGACATGCCCTAAGTCCTATTGATTTAATTAGAAATTATCTCTGGTCACTGGAAAAATGATGAGAACTTAGGTACCTAAATAGAAATTTAGACTTATAGAACCATCTGAGATTGGCTTAAAAGCTTGCTGAAAAGCATAAATATGTGGGGTAAATCCTTGGAGGTTTTTTTTTTGTTCTCAGCAGCCAGAAGCCAAGGGTATGATTTAATGATCAGTATAAGCTGATCTAAGTGTATTCCTTCCAGAAGGAAACAATCTCCCCCTTCAGGGGCCCCTTCCTGGGTCAGTGTTGATCCAGTCAAAACACAGTTATTGGGGTCAGGGATTCTCTCTTTGCTGAGTTTGTCCTTGCAGCTTCGTGAGCGCCCGTGCTGTCCCAGGGTAGGCGGTGGAATATACAGCCTGGGGTAGATTCCGTGGTACTGAGGTTGCTTCAGGTGGCAGATGTGCAGACTCTGTCTGTGCAAACTGATCACAGAACCTCCCCAGTTCCCCAGATCTGCCCTTGCGTGTCTTTCGACGGTCACCTGGACCTGGCTGGAGTTCAGGCTGCTGCTTACGCTTGGCTGTGTGTTCCTGTCCATCCTTGCGCTGGCATAAACCTTCGGGAGTCCCCTGGAGGACTGATAGGGCTGGAACCAAGCTAGTGAAAAGAAATAATTAGCTGTACAAATACTAGTGCTGGCACGAAAGAAATACTGGCAATGGATGGCCAGGGTCAGAGCAGGTCCTGCCAGCCCTTGCAGGCACCGTGCCCTAAGCAGGTGATAACGGAGCTGCATCCTTAAGGATATGGTCCAGCAGAAGCTTGAGTGGAAGTGTAGGCTGTTACGGTCCTCTTCCCTTCTCCCCAACTAGTGTCTGCGTTGCGTGAACGCACAGCGATCCGGATGGGGAATAGATCTGCCTTTCAGCCTCTACCGAGCTGCTTTTTGGCTGGATCCACCTCCTGGATGAACTTGCTTGGCGTCCCATCAGCAGTAACACCAGTGCAAGGCTGGGGTGGGAGGGCAGGAGGGAGCGCAGCGTGAGCAGCCGCGCAATGCTGCTCCTGGCTTTCCGAAGCTGCTTCATCCACCTGGCTTTCAGGACCTGTGGTTTTCATTACAGACATCTCTGATTAACTATCTCCGCTAGCTCATTTGTTTGATGGTGTGGGGTTTTTTTTTTTCCAGTCTCGCATTCTGAAAAATGACTGTATTCTGGTTTATGTTGTGATATTGGGAGGCCAGGGTTCGGTTATCCCGAGAGCTTGCTCACGCCTCTGACGCACTGGCTGTTCCCATATGATTTACCATTGCACAGCACAGAGCTACAGGAGTGCTTGCTGCAAACAAGCTGCTCTTGGGTACTGGAAGTAGTTTAGCTTGGCAGCACGGAGTTGTTGTATGCTTACATATTTGCCATATTTATCCATGACGGTCCTCAGATGGACCTTTAGGAGGAGGCTGAGCTGTGTTTCTGTTTTCGTAGGGAATCGCATAGAACTTTTAACATAGCTACACCGCTGCTTGCTGCAAATTGCGCCCCAAAGTGATCATTTCCTTGCTTTCAGAGCTGTGACTTGTGGTCCCTGGGTGTCATTATTTACGTGATGCTGTGTGGATACCCTCCGTTTTACTCCAAACACCATAGTCGGACAATTCCAAAGGACATGCGGAAAAAGATCATGACAGGAAGTTTTGAATTTCCAGAGGAAGAGTGGAGCCAGATCTCAGAAATGGCGAAAGACATTGTGCGAAAGTGAGTCAGTGGAGGAAAATGTTGTATTGCTCTTTGCTTATTTTAAGAAACTGGAAAATCACTTGAAAGTGCATTATCACAGAGGGCTTCTTTTTCCAAAGGCGGGGGGAATTGTCTGCAGCACATACAGCTGAAAAATTTTCCATTGCATTCAGCACAAATGAAGTCTGGTAAATATTTTTCTTTCCCTCTCTTTTTTTTTTTTTTTTTTTCCCCAACTGTTGTGTTAATTTTTGATGTCTCCCATCTCTGAAGCTGCTAGAGTGCGTTGTGCATTTAGTCTGTAAGGGGAACGGGTACACCACCTTGCTTCAGAGCAATGTAGACAACTGGCTGCCACATCTGCAAGCAGTGCCTAGGCTCATACCTCCTGTGATGTTCAAACTCCTATTAAAATTGAGGCATTTAGGTGGCGTAATACCATCTGGTAGGTCTGTCCCTTAAAACCCCGTGCACATAATACACAGTCTAAAAGGAGTCAGGAGAGAGGCGTGGAAAGGAAGGTTAAGATCTGTCACAAGATGTCAGACTATGAGATAAGGTTTTGCATCGATATTTTATTTTAAATGCTAATGGAAACTGTTTTTCATGCAGTGCACGTCTCTCAATTGCAAATGTTTCAAAGACTCTGGTCCCATGGTCCTGTTTGAAAGCAAGAATGTGGCACTGATTAGGTCTTGACCTCGCTTATTTTTTCAAAAATATGAGAGGGCCTTACTGCCTTTGCCTGTATCACTAGAGGAACTGGAAGGATTAAAGCAATATAAATAGAAAAAAATCAATCCCTTAAACAATTTTAAACTGTCGCTGTCTCTTCTGACGTGCCATAAAATCTCCAAGGACTTAACATTGTTTGGAAAGGGTGCTGGGACCTGTTCATAGCAGTGTGGGAGAGCCCACAACCTTTCACCAAATAAACTGCAGATTATATTGCAGTGGAACTTCCGCTTATACCAAGGGCGACTCTGTTCTCGCTCAGAAGCTCCACAGTCAAGAAGTTTCATTGTCTTTTAAAACGACCGTGAAACTCGGCTTGCAGAACGTGGTTAGTTGGATTCAGTTCACTTAATTCTCTCACTAATGTTATCAGGGCTCCCTTTGCTGCTTGTCTTTTCCAGCCGGTGAGTCTGAATCTGTGTTTAGGGTGCAGGAGTACATTTAGACTTTATAGAATTCTGGAAAAGTCTGAATTTCATTTATGTGGACTGGTGTTCATATGGAGTCTTGCTTTTGGAGGTCACATTTTGCATTCAAGCAGCTGCTTCCTTTCAAGCATGTCGAGCTGATTTCTGACCTCAAGCTTTATGAGCTGGAGTCCTTGATAATAGGTTAAGACTCTGAAAACCTACGGAAGAGGAACGCACGTGTCTTGGGTCTTGTATCAAAACTGAACTTACAGCCTGTTTGGCAGCATGGCCTTGCAAGTGAAATTTAAGAGCTAGCCCGTGGTCCTGCTGACATTTTGTAAAAGCTATTTCCACTTCCGTGGTGCATTAAACAATTCTGCTTTGCAGCCAGGAAGCTGATTTAGAGTATTGTCTAAGAAAGTGTGACAAACTCGTCAGGTCATTCTGTTTCCAGTTGAGACTCTTGGGATAATTTGTCGGCACTCTGGGTGAAATTTTCCTTTTTTTTTATTAAACAGTTGTGATTATCACGAGAACATGATTTTATCCACAAAATCTCTTTCCAGGGTTCCATTCTAGTAAAATATAATTCCACGGAGTTTTCAGAGATCTCAGAATAAAGTTCCTTGTTATTTTGAGGTGCTGTAGCCTGCCAAAGTGCCCGTTGCTTCAGGCTTTTGCAGGGGCAGAAGAGCTAAGACGTTGCATGGTGAAAGCAGTTAATTCAGCAAACAGGTTTCTGATTTGAGACTTTGCCTTGCTTCACCATGCTCAGAGTCCTTGGCGTGAGTGTAGGCTGTTACGTGGATGAGCTCTAGATGTGCGTTTGCAGAGCGCATCGGTCTGGATCGTTTCCAGTTCATCTGGAAGGTAATTTCCCATCTGGGAGGACGTGAACGTAGAGTTCAACAGAACACAAGTCTGACTGAAATGGCCGTCAGCGCCTTTCTTTATACTGAGTTACTGAATATAAACTGAAAGAGCTGTGACAGCGTTAAAATATCGCCACAGCAAGGGTCAGTGAGGCTGACAGAAAGTCAGACTGCTTTTGGGTCAGCTTAGTCTTTTAGTTGTTAGGAGGAGTTTCTTTTGTGGCCCCCCTAATGCTAAGAGATTGTGAAGTGCTCTGATCCCAGACAGAGCAGCACACTGGAAATCAGCAAAGACCTCTTTATGGACTGATGGATTCCTCTCCCAGGCTGCTGAAGGTCAAACCTGAGGAACGACTGACCATTGAAGGTGTGCTGGACCATCCCTGGCTCAACTCCACCGAGGCACTCGATAACATCCTACCCTCTGCCCAGCTGATGATGGACAAGGTCTAAACAACATTTTATTTTATCAAGAATGTTGCGTAGAGGAGCTGGGTAGCTCCTGGGTAGCTGGAGTGTTTTCTTTCACATGGTGTTATGGAGACAAAGAGCTCCCCATCTGCCTTAATGAGAGCCTGAGATGTTGGTAAGAAAATGGAAGTGGCTCCATTTGAAATTTGGGCTAAGGGAAGATGCTCCAAGATTGGCAGTAAAGAGCAACTGCGTGCTGACAAGTAGAGAACAGAGTATGGCAGTGAACATGCCTCAGGACTCTGCTGTCAGTCTTTTCTCTTTTTTCCCTGTGTTTTATACCTGACTTCAGCTATGACCTCGCTGATTAGCAGCAAAGGAATAGCCCTTCTTGCTTCCTTTAAACTCTGCTCAAATGGGAGTTCAGTCACAGCTCTGAAGGTTATGAACATGAGAAGCAGAGATGGTCCTTTGTCCTGTTCAGCCCCTGTAAGGTCAGGATATATCGCCACACAGTCAGTGAGTGTAGTTCTGAGCATGTCTTGCATAATGCAAACTTGATTTTTGGTAGGCATCTCTGAAATAAATAGGATTTTGGGGCGCTTTTTTTTGTTGTTTTGTCCTTGTTTAACACTGTCTATACATTGTTCTTTAATTCACAAAGAAGCAAATTAAAACATCAAGTGCAACTCTTTTCATTCCAGGCAATGGTTGCAGGGATACAACAGGCTCACGCAGAACAGCTTGCGAACATGAGAATCCAAGACCTCAAAGTCAGCCTCAAACCCCTTCACTCCGTCAACAACCCCATCCTGCGCAAAAGGAAATTACTGGGGTAACTCTCTCAAACTGTTTCTGAAAGATCCCCGTGTAGGCAGCCGTGATGCCTGGGGAACGACGTTACGAGTTCATTCGATTGTAACCACGGTCTGCCAAGCTACGGCAGCGAGGGCAGGAAGGAGGTTGGGTGGGGTTACTGTATTATGCAGGTAGCAGAACGGATCCCTCGTGAGAAGATGGGTCACATGTTGAGTAAGGTAAGGCAAACTGGGAGAAAGAATTCCAAGATTTTTTTTTTTCCTGATCCTGACATTTATTTACTGAAAAAGTCAGGTAGTCTCTCTCTCTTTGTTCTAGTTACCTATCTGAAAAATAGGGTAGTGCAGTTTAGGATTACCCTTACTTAATTCAAAGGAATATTTGTTTTTCTTCATATTTTAAGTGGTCTCATAACACAAGACGTTGTTATAATTAATGCTAAATGTAGCTCCCAGTCCCAGCTCTCCAGACAGTGAAAGAGAGCATTATACTGGTGCAGTTACGCAACGAGTAATGAACTTGAGTTGCATTCAAATTGTAATTGTTTCCTCCTTGTTCTCACAGCACGAAGCCGAAGGATGGTGTTTATATCCACGACCCTGAGAATGGAAGTAACGATTCCAACGTGGCTCTGGAAAAGCTCAGAGACGTGATTGCTCAGTGCATTCTTCCCCAGGCTGGTAAAGGTTGCCACTTTTTAGAAAAAGTTCCATTCCTAAACGTGCAAGACACTGACTTTTTACTGTGCCTTGAGGTCCATCTGTGTCGGTAGGGAGGAAGGATAAATAAAACTCCTGTTGTCCTAGGCAGTCTCCAGAGCAAAGCGTTGCCTGCGGACTGCAGTTTTGGTGCATGCCTCGTGTCAGTGTCGAGAGTGACATGCAGAGCTGTTAAAGCAGCTGTCAAACAGGAGTGTCTGCTTGCAAACGGGTTTCCTCGTTTGCGTGAGGCGAGGAGGAATAACTGCGTGGGGTGTTTACTGAAGCTCTGAGTGCTGCTGCGAGGCAGGATGACAAACCTCCCATTTATCTTTGTTCTCCTAAATAGGAGAGAATGAAGATGAGAAGCTGAATGAGGTGATGCAGGAGGCGTGGAAGTATAATCGAGAGTGTAAGTTGCTGCGAGACACTCTGCAGAGCTTCAGCTGGAATGGTGAGGAATTCTGTCTCGTCCACGGAGAATGGTGCTAATGCCGGGTGAAAGGGGGGAAGCAGTGACCTTCTTAGATGGAAAGAAAACCAAATTTCTTGAATTTGTGTTGGAGTGGTTTAGGTTTTGACACTGTTTTAGCCCATCTGCCAGCATGGATGTTCTAGAAACGAGGTTGAAAGTTCTGCTTCAACTTTTCTATGTGAGGTTCAGGGTCGAGTTTTCAAAGGCACCAAGTCACGTGGGAACACGACAGCACGGATGGATCAGCACTGCAGAAACCGCTCTAGCTGTTTTGAGCTGGTTTCCTTCCAGCTGTTTGTTACCCCCTTTCTGCTGGAGGCTGCTGCCTTCCCCTACGTCAGCCCAACATCTCTCCTGCTCAGTCTGTGCAGGAAACGGAATTAAACGAGGCCAGCTGCCCTGAGCCTGCTCGGGCAGCTCCTGGACAAAACGGGGTGGCAGAGGTGTCAGCCCCCAGGAGCAGATGCTGATGAGTAGAAGGGCACCAGGGGCATCAGCCAGGTTCACGAGGGCTTGGCCATGCCTCTTCCCTCATTCTGTTTTTTGTTTGGTTGGTTTTAGTTTAGGTTCTCAAGCGCTCAGTTGTTTTTCAGTGGAACTAGAGGTCGTAACTCATTCTGGTTCCCTCGCAAATGTGGTCCTGCGTTTCTGTGGGAAGCGTTGTTTTGTGTTCAGTCGGTGTGTGACTCCAGCCGTGATCGCTTTCCTCCTGGTGCCCGGCACCAGCTGACTTCCTATTCTTCTCTTTTCAGGCAGAGGATTCACAGATAAAGTGGATCGGCTAAAACTGGCAGAAATAGTAAAACAAGTTATCGAAGAGCAGACAAACTCCCATGACTCTCAATAGCTGGAGCTTCTTAATCTTATTTTTTTTACCATTTAAGATTTATTCTTTAACTGTAAAAAGTATTTTTATGTAAATTAATAAATCATAATTATTTCATTAAATTTCCATACTGCTTGAAAATGCTGTATAGTTGTAGATACAAAAAAAAAAAGATCATTGGTACTGTAATATTTTTTTAAAACTCAGTTCCTTGAGGTATATATGATCACTTATGTACTGTTAATCATGAGTCCCTCGGACGGGGCAAACTATATTGTTCAAGACCATTCTCTTTCTTAATAACCAGTTGCAGAAGCTGCCTTCCACCTGCTTAGACATACAACCAGCTGCAATGACTATGTATGTGAACGAGACAGCCACAGTTTCTCAGCACCCTGCTCAGTAAGTACCTGAAGCGAGTGCTGTGAAACACAAGCTTCACAGCTACCCTTCGCACCTGAACTTGGAGTCTCTAGGTAGGGGCAACTAAATGGCCTTCTGTGTCGCTAGATGACACAAGAGCCACGCTTGGCCTCGCCGAGGGCACCTGAGTCCATGTGCTTGCTGTGTTTTTCAGTTCTGATCAGTAGCCCTCCTTTTTTCTTCTTCTCTGTCTTCCTCGGACCTTCTCTAGGGCTTAGCCCTCTTTCTTTCTTCTTCCCCATCTTCCTCAGATGTTTTTTTAAGGCTGAATTGGCCATTCAGCGTAAGATTCCTCTGTTTATCATATTGTTCAACAGCAGAACAGAAGAATGTTCTAGTTACTTCTGTACAAATTATTTTTACTTTCATGGTGGGATTTTCTGCTGTGGACAACAGTAAGCGTAGGGTTCATTTGCTTCGTCCCCAGACCAGCAGTTGTGTGGGTTCCAGCCGTGTACTCCAGCCTTTCGTTTCTGGAAGACCCAACACTTGGTTTCAAACTTGGCCTCGTGTTTGAAAGAGATCACCCTGGCGAGGGTCATAGTGCTGCTGCGTGAGGCCACCACTGATCCTTCTCTTGTGTCACCCTCTGGAGTCCAAGCTCCCCATCTCTTTGATGCCTTCGAGCTCCTCCTGAGGGAGCAACAGATGCAGGGCTGCTCCTTGGCGTGCGTCCTTATGCTGCCTGGACCATGAGGCTGCCCAGGGCAGATTCTTACACTAGTCTGGAACATTGGCTCCAAAAGCTGCTTTTTTTTAAATTTTAATTAAACAAACAAATGAAAAGAATCTGTACATATTTCTAGTTTTCTACCTTCTGACGCTTTTCTTTCTTTTGAGACTGGTCGAAGGCTTTTTATAGAGATATTTTGGTACTAAACCTGCGCAGACTATGAATGCGTTTGGTCTGCAGACTGAAGTGCCAATTCAGGGCTATTAGTAATGACTCTTGAACATTAACGTTATACTTCATAGCTCATTAATTTTGGGTTTACATTTACAAACCTGAGCCATGAATCTCCCAATTTACTCTTACGGCAGTTCAGCCTTGTTCTTTTTTGTCTTTTTTCTATAGCAGACTTCCTTGCAACCTTTAGCTTGGATGGCAAACCAGTGTCTGACTCTTTCTATAAAATTTTGTAAACAGCAACTTAGTTTTCTACATGAAGGAGATGCTTCATTTCCCATTCTTTGTCAGCACCTTGTCAGCTTTCTTTTAATCCTGTCGACAGTTTTCCAATGCCTGATTTATTGCAGAGCAAGAACCACAGTCCCTGCTTAACCATCACTTTCTCCGATGGAAACAGGGAGGTTTTGTGTAAGCCAGAATTGTACCTCTGACACTACGTGGGACGTTTGTGCACTGACATGTATCGATGGCAACTGTAGAGATTTAGCAAGAGTATTTGTAATTTCTTGGTAGTATCAGCAAGTTTGCAGGCCCTATAATATGCATTTCTGTCCTTGCCCTAAATTCTAGGTCATGTCAACATCCGCACAGTCTTTCAACCTAATAGATAATTTCCTTTTTAACTTGTAATCCTTGGGGTTTTTCCTGGGAAATCTCAATGTTTTGGAACTTTTAAGTGTGGCAAATTGAGGAATAAACAAGGAAATCGCCTTTGAATGGGAGGGCAAAAAATTCCACACAAAAGCACTTTGCAACTCTGCCCTCCGCAGAGGAAAATACTTGGGCAGTTTCTTCGGAGCCAGAACTTCTTAGCAGAAAAACGAATGGGATCGTAGCTGCTCCCGTGGCCAACGCCGAGGGTGGTCAGCAGAGGCTGCGGCCACGACTGGTAGTGAGGTGGGTACGTATGCGACTGACCGTGAAGCGTTCTGCTCTCTGGAGGGAAGTCAGGTTGCTAAAGGCTTTTGTGAATAAGGAACTGCTTTCTATGGATTGACTGTGGATTTTATTGTCTGTGATAAATACGAATGGCCTGATCTAAAACAGAGATAGGGAGGGACAGATTAAGAAAACACAATTTGAAGATTCAAGGTCAAATGGTTTTATTTCTATGAGAAAGTTGATTATTTTACTCTTTAAAAAGTTTTATGGTTTAGATTTCAAAATTAAATACGATTTAATGGATTTATTTACATATTTTAAAGTAGTATTTTACTTTCTCCTTCCTGTTTTTTATTTTTTCAGTTGACATAAACGCAAGATACCTTGTCTTGATTATATAAGGTTTTACCTGGTAATAAATCTACTGATCCTTTATAGCAGACTGTGAATATTGTAAATATCTTGAGATGGAAGGGTCGTGGGGGATCAAAGAAGACATTGTTTGTACAAACACTAAGAGGATATGAGAAAGCTCTGTAGGTTTTTGTAGAATTTTATTTAAGAGAAAGCTCTCTGAAATCATTTGACCTTTTCAAAATTGTATGTATATCTGACTTCTCCTGTGACTTGATTATTTTAAGCTATATATATTAAAAAGTTAGAAGAACTTGACTAGGCGAAAGAGTTTTCGATTGGAAATAGCAACGTGTCAAAGTTTTGCAGTCATTACTTCAGGTTTTTGTTTTGGAAATCCCGAGTCTGTCCTCATATGCCATGTTTGACTTCTGTGTATTAAAATGTTTTCATTTCTCCTTTTCAGTGTTACCTGTAATATCTTAGTTTATTTTGGATCAGTATTATATTGTAAATATTACGCATTGGTGTATATAAATGATTTTACTAAACTTAAAAGTCACTGGCTGCTTTTGTTTGTTTCCCTCGTGCCTGCCGTAGCGCAGAAGGGAAGGAGGACAACGCGCTTCTCCTGCCAGCACGGGCTGGTCCTGCCACGCTCGCTCCGCCGCCCGCCCGCCTTACAGAGGTGACTAAGCACTTTGCTTTATGTCTTGCAGGAGTGCCGTGAGGCTTTGAGATGGAAGGAGGACTGGCAGGCTGAGCTGGGTAGAGCCCTAGGAAACGGTGTGCTCTGCCCGGCGCCATGACCGGAGATCACCGCTTTCAGGCACCGCTTTCCGTTAGATGGCAGCAGTAAGTGCCCAGTGCGACCAGTTAACCCCCCCAAAGCCTATGGGGTTTGTCTTGTAGCTACCACGTAGGGAAGGCAGGGCTGAGTTCTGTGTTTGGTGGCGTTTACCCCGTCAGGTGTAACGGCTCCTCCGTTCTGCCAAGCGTCTGCTTTGGGGCAGGAGCTAGGAACCAGTTTTCGTAGGGTGACGGTCTTTGCAGGGTGCTGTGCTTCGCTGAAGCTGGCTGAAGAACAGCAGTGGCCCTGGAAGGAGGCCGGGGGACAGCTGTGAGTGCCCCTGGCCCCCTCCTTCGTAAGAGTTAACATCCACCTGCGTGGTACCTTTAGGGAGTTAATAGTGTGGTGGATAGGGAGTGACTGTAGAGCACCCATAGCGTCAGGAAGGGGAGGGAGAGAGCAATTCCCAAGCATCCCGGGAGTATTTAAGGCAGCTGAACCAGCTGCAAGCGCTCTATAGAAGTCAAAAAAGAAAAGACTCTCCCCTGCTCGTGGAAGGATGGGTGGCTGAAAGGGTGCCTCTCCCTTTCCAGCAAGAAAACTCCCCTCAAATAGTTAAAACGGTCGGAGAGGTGCTCAGCGGAGTGCTGAGCCCTGCAAGGACAGCTGTCCGCAGACTGAAGGCTCTCACTGCCCCCGCTGAAGGTCCCGTTAGCAACCAGATCATTGTTTCCCTGGTAATCTGCTGTTGCTCTCCACTTCTCAATGCTTAATCCCCTTTTAAACAAATTGCTGTGGCAGCACGGGCTCATCAGGCTCTCGGCAAACGGGGTCAGCCGAGTTAGGGCGTATTTAACGAGCTGCTGGCGTGGGGGGGCTGTGCCAGTGCCCGGCTTCCGTCCTCCCCATGGAATGTTTACGTTTGAAGTGGGGCTGGGGAAACGGTTGCCCC